AGGATTTTATTTTTATGAGTTTCAGTTTGTCCAGTGATCTCCATCCTTGTAATTGCAGGCATGTGAAAGGCCGCGTGCTGGTTGCCCTCGCCGATGGGACACTCGCGATATTCCACAGATCGGAGGGTAATCGAACTTTAATAGAGACACCAGACGTTAGTCTGTTAGGGGAAGTTATGATTGCAGGTGGAATTGGAGCACAATGTGCGTGGAGAGTCAAAATCAAAGATAGAGAAAGCAGTCAATAAATGACTCCAGTAATATGACACAAAAGGCACAAAAATGCACATTAGAAAGGAATGTAGGGATGATTTAATTTATATGTATGTTTATTTACCTTTGTATTAATTCTTCCATATATTTATTTTATATAAATAAATAGCCCCAACCCACAGTATTATTGTTAGCTAGGCTAGCCCAGCAGCTCAGGTCTTGAGAAATCTCTTGTCTGAGATTCATCAATTGTCTAACAGGCTGTGATTCAAAGTGTTTCCAGAGGACAGTTACAGGGACGGTCCCTTTATTTGCCTCATTTAATGAAGCAGAGATGTGCAAAAACTCGCAGAAACACATTTAGCTAATGTGTGTGTTTCTGTCATCAGATGGCCAGTGGGATTTGTCCAACTACCACCTCATGGACCTCGGCCGACCTCATCACTCCATCCGGTGCATGGCCGTCGTCCACGATAAAGTGTGGTGCGGCTACAAGAACAAGATCCACGTCATTCAGCCAAAGAGCATGCAGATAGAGGTGGGGCACGAGCCCGCTGTCGCATCGTTGTGCTGAAGAAACGTCTGCAGCTTCAGTGCCGCAGACGTGTTATTTTTAGTTGTAATAATATAATAAACACCACTAAATCCTTTCTGTTTGGCAGAAGTCCTTCGATGCCCACCCTCGGAGGGAGAGTCAGGTACGGCAGCTAGCCTGGATCGGTGATGGAGTCTGGGTGTCGATCCGACTGGATTCAACCTTGCGTCTCTACCATGCGCACACGCACCAGCACCTCCAGGATGTAGACATAGAGCCATACGTCAGCAAGATGCTGGGTGAGTTTATTTTAGTTTGTTTTGTGAAGTGTGACGTTTCACTTTTGGAGTTGCATGTGATCTGTGCAACGTCCCACTCACTCTGGTTGTGTCTCGTAGGTACCGGCAAGCTGGGATTCTCTTTTGTGCGAATCACAGCGCTTCTGATTGGTGGAAATCGTCTTTGGGTTGGGACTGGAAACGGTGTTATCATCTCCATCCCACTGACAGAGAGTGAGAGTCTTTTTTCTTTATTTTTTGGTGCCTAAAGGATCAAAAGTGATTATTTGTCATAAATACTTGAAGTTTTAGGTGGTTTACACAGCAGAATATCTGGATAACCTGTCAGCAAATGTTTGTTACATTTGATGCACGGGACCAGGCTCCCAAAGGATACAGATACAGGTGTACAGTTCATAAAGTTGGCTTTATTTTACCCTCCAAAATGTTAAAAGGTAAATCAAAAACACAACAGCACTTTACAAAATAAAAGAAGAACTTATAAATTGACCAAATGGGCA